CTCTCTCTCTCTCTCTCTCTCTCTCTCTCTCTCTCTCTCTCTCTCTCTCTCTCTCTCTTCCTCTCCCTTTCTCTCTCTCTCTCTCTCTCTCTCTCTTCTCTCTCTCTCTCTCGCTCGCTCGCTCGCTCGCTCTCTCTCCCCATTTTCCTTCTCCCTTCCTCATTCGCTCTTCGTCTCTCACAATCCCGTTCTCTCTCGCTTTTCATTCTTATTCTCATTTTCCCTTTCTTTTTCTGTTCCAGGATTGCCACAGAAAATGAATTTTTAAATTCTCTGATTTTCCAGTAAGTAATATAAAATATATAAATTTTTACATTTTAAGACTCAAGGATTGTAGGAAAACTGGTCTATATTATTAAAAACAACGGAAAAAAAGCTTAACATAGTACAATTTTGGATGCAAATTCAAACTAGCAAAAAATAAATTAGTTTTGGAAAAAAGAATGCAAATATGACGAAAAAGAGAGATCAAATAAAAATACTGAATAAAATATAAATTTTAATTATTTTATTAAAATCATTTAAAGTGCACAAGTTTTGAATATTTGACTAACATATTTGACTATAAACATCAGATATAATATTTAAAAAATTATAACAATTATTTGAAATAGGAACAGAGAATTGTGAGCAAATTTCAAAAGACTTTAGACTTTTTTACATTTTCCCCTGATTTTTCTCGGTTTCCATGACCAATTTCAATTTCCCTGATTTTTCCCAGTTTTCCCGGTTTTCTAGATCTATGGCAATCCTGTTCGTTTTTTTTTTTTTATTTTAGAAACAATCCTACCCTCCGTTATGCTTGAACTGCAGAAGCCTGGACAGTCGGCCGCGACGAGCGAGCCTCCGGGGGTGACCCGTGATTCTGCCAACACAACAACAAAAAGGCCGCTTCACGAGTCTAATTCCTAGGCATCTAAATTCACTAATGCCCGTTTCCATCAATGTAGATTAATTCTACGCAGTTAATTTTTTTAAATCTTATTTTTGTTAGGGTGATTAGACCCCTTAATTCCAGGATTCGTAGTGTCCGTTTTCGGATTCAACGCCCACAAAATTTAGGACGCCACGAGGGAGATACCGTTGCATAACGAATGACTGCAACAATGACAGACGGGGTGTTCGTGTAACACTCTGTTTGCATCCAAATGGTATACGAGAATTTAAATCCGATTTACGCGAGATAGAGAGTGCTCGCTCCTACTCTAATGGGATCTAGCTCTCGAAGAACGCGCAATACGCGAGACATACATTGATACATGTTCCGATAATATGTATTATATAAATCCGACAATATTTTATTATATGAAATATGCTGCGACCATACCTTCCAGCAAATGGAAAGAATGGTTTTTTTGAAAAGACAATAAAAGCGATATGATAAAAAGAAAAAAAAGAGAAGAAAAACGAAAGAGAGTAGCAAGGAGCAAAAAGTAATGTTATATAAATTAATGTAGAAATTACATTACTTACTCTGCATTAGTTTCCGGTGTCGGCAAATCCCCGATTGTTGTTAAAGTTAAAGTAGACCAATACACAGAGCCAAGATATTTTCTTGTTAAAGTGGCGTACTCTCCGGGCCGGTGGGGATAAGCCCAATCTCCCTGGAAACTCTCCGCTTCGCTTAGCAAATAATAGAAACATCCAAACCAGTGTGCGAGAAGAAGTAATATGTGAATTAAGTTGAGAACGCGCCAAAAGTTCGGGTAGATTGTACGGGATTCAACCATGTAATAGTAGTTATATACACGATAAAGTTTTAAAAATCGGAAGAACCGCAGCATCGGATTGCTGCCAAGACTCAACTGCAGTAAATCAACAGGTAACAATGCGAACAAATCCAAAAAAAAGAATTTAGACTTGAAATAATGTCCGGCAAGTTTGCGGCTGTTGTACACCATGAGGCCTTGCTCCAAGTAACCGGTACGAAATTGTACTAATATATCCAAAAAAAAAGTGAAATCGGTAAAACAGTCGAGGGCGAACCAAGTACCGGGCGCCAAAGCCTGCAGTTCCGGCAAACTCTGGCGCACGATTAGCGTCCATAGATTGTAAAGAACACAGAATGAGACAAGCATCAGCCAGTAGTAATAGAAATCCTCATCTGGGTTCACAACAGTTTTCGGTGGTTTTTGCCTATGAGGTCGTCTGCCTCGTCGACTACCCATATTCTTATCTGTCCCATCCCCGGCAATGTCCAACGTCTCCTGACTTTCTGGAATTGGCCGGGTGGCAAATCTTTTTAAAAACGAGTCTTCACGTTTTAACGGAGGCTTCTTCTGCATCGCTGATGACAGCTGCACAGTTGTGCGCAGTTTCATCCAACGCTGATTGCTTTTTGATCTGCAAGCAGAAAAATAAATAAATCGCCAGTATTAGAATATCGAAAAGCCATACGTATGAGATTTGACATCTATCGGTAACTATTCGAGCAATGATCTTGTTTTTTATTCTTTACAACATATATAAGTAAGAAAAAACGCGTAACTAGGAAAAGTTACTATACGAAATAAGAAATAAAAACCGACCGTGTAAACGTACAACATAAATATGTTAGTAGACAGCGCCAATAATCGAAGATAGATGTTCCGAATAATACAATACAATTCTTGATTTATAAATTTAAGATATAATCGCGAGTCGAAACGTTTGGTCATTCGCATATACAGGTTCCACCTAACTCGAATATATCAATAAAAAAATTAATAGTTTACGAGTTATTTAATTTTATATTAATATATGCCAAAATAAAGTATAAAATATCTCTTAAATTATTGATTTTTTGATATCGCTACCTTAATACTTTTAATATGAATTAAGTATTGTAATTAGGCTCATTAGAGATGAATCAGTCTATAAGTTGATGCCTTTTGGATGAAAGTCCAAACACAGGATGAAAGTAATAAGATTTATTACTTTTAATATGAATTAAGTATTGTAATTAAGCTCATTAGAGATGAATCAGTCTATAAGTTGATGCCTTTTGGATGAAAGTCCAAACACAGGATGAAAGTAATAAGATTTATTACTTTCAATGTCTACATATCTTCAATGTCTACATGTCTACGTTCATTGAATTTGCATTGAAAAGGATCCGAAGCTGGATCGAAATGTATGTATAAGACATTGGAACTAATAAATCTTATTCGACATCCTGTTTGACTCCAAAAAGCATCAACTTATGGACTGATTAATATAATTATTATTATTATATTATATATTATATATTATATTATATGATTAATATAATTTTATATATATTATAATTAGAGAAATCATATTACGTAAAAAGAAATTATACAATTCCATTTTAAAAAATGGAGGTGACCTTCATATCTTTTTGGCGTCTCCACCTAGAAGAAAGACAACTTGACCAACCGATCCTTGAAACCGATCCACTTTCATCTGAAACATTGTTTTCTATCATAAAAACCAAGCGAGATATTTCATATGCTCGAGTTAAATGAAACACCCTGTTATGAAAATCAAATTTTCTCAGATGTGACTGTATGTCGAAAAAATTGTACTTTTAAACAATCAATCTGAGATGCTAATAATCCCCCTCCCCCCTCAAATTAAATAAGAAATATGTTATACATTTACACTGTCAAATCTTATTTCTTATTTCTCAATAACGCTGTCTAGTTACTGCCTAGTTCTCTCATTATAGGATATATGTCGCATCTTAATTTATTAAGTATTATTTACTATGTTTAATAAATAAACTATATACTAACCATGTACTCAGTAAAAACTTTGTACTACTGTTTACTATTATGAAAAAAATATTAATAATCCGAAATACTTGTTTTTTATATTAAAAAAAGAACTTTTTGAAAGCATTGTATTTTTTGAATATCCTGGAATATCCCATAGAGGTGGGATGGCTACTCATAGGAGGAGTATGACTCATAAAAAATTTACAAATATAGTAATGCTTATAAATAAGACGTAAAATAACACAATAACTTAGAAAATATGTTTGTAAAGTTTTGTTAAAAATTAAGAATGATAAATATATAGGTATATAATACGTATTAATTACAATCTTCTTACACGTGTTATTACATAAAGTACATATTTCGTAATGTGTATATTGCATTTAGTGCACTGAATCCAATCTGCGTACTTTGTATGCTTTGGACATAAATCCCGCCCGCTAAAAATGCCGTATATCCCAAACAGGTCTGTGAAGCTGACATCTCCAAATGCAAATTTTGACAAAATTAGCATCGCATTATCTATTTGTCCACAAAAAAAATTTTTGTCTACCCTTGAAAAAAAAATTATAAATAAATAAAAAATTGTATTATAATAACCCTATATGAACCTTCTTCCGAATTACACGCGAGATTCGATTGTTCACCATACGTACGCATTTGTCCATATGTAATTTTCTTTTGTTCACCTTTCAAAAAAGTTATAAACAAATTAAACTTATACTATTTGTCATTGTACACGTAAGAGCGTTCATTTCCTAACTACGTACGGGATACCTATATATTTATCATTTTTAATCTTTAACAAAAATTTGTAAACATATTTTCTAAGTTATTGTGTCTTATTTATAAGCATTATTTATAAATTTTTCATAAGCTATACATGTCTCTCTCCCTTCCCCCTAGGAGTAGTCATATTCTACATCTATGGGATATACGCTAAAAATGCAAGATTTTAAAAAGTTTTTTTTTTAATACAAAAAATAAGTATTTCGGATTTTTAATTTTTTTTCAAATTAGACAATACAAAGTTTTTACTGATATAAGTTATTTATCTTAAACATAATAAATAATAATTAATAAATTAATGCGGCGTATATACAGGAGTTATCTTTTAATGAGAGAACACGTAACTAGGCAGCGTTATTGAGAAATAAGAAATAAGATCCGATGATGTAAATGTACAACATATTAATACAATCAAATAATGCCTATTCGAGCCAACACAGGATGACAATGTGAAAATTGATTTATTTAAATAATAACATGACGTTTCGATCCTGTTTCGGATCCTTGTCAATGCTCCATGTAAATTGTTAACAGAATTCAAGAGTCTAAGAATAGTAATGTAACATTGATGTCATCGTACTTCCTGGTATACTATACAACAAATTTATCGAATTGTTATAGAATATAAGTATAACAAATTTTTTTCTGACTTACATGATCATCGCAATGTTATTAAGCTGCGTCAGACGTCGAGTCTCATCTCGACGAGACAACAATACATTAACTGGAATGTCACACGCGCTCGGTTATTATGGAACATCGATTGGAATACTCTCATAAATTTGATTGGGACAATATACGCATCTTAGATGAGAAAAAAATACTGAATAAAAGTCTTATCTCAGAAACTATTTTTATCAAACAACAAACTAACGGTTTAAATTTACAGAATGATACGGAATTGTTGGATAAAGCTTATGATAACATAATTATGTTTAAATAATACGCTCAATATTCTATAAATTTTATATGTTTGTACTGTATGTCTTGTATTGTTGTCTCGTTAGATGAGACTCAACGTCCGATGCATGAATAACTTAATAATGTTGCAGACAATCAAACAATGTAAGTCAGAAAAAAATTTTTTACATTATATTTTATTATATAACGACAATAAATTTATTGTATAATATACCAGGAAGTACGATGACATCACTGTTATATTATTATTCTTAGATGACTGAATTCGGTTAACAATTTATATGGAGCATTGATAAAGATCAGAAACAGGATCGAAACATCAACGTTGATTTAAATAAACCAATTTTTATATTGTCATCCTGTGTTGAATAGGTATTCGAATAGGTATTATTTGATTGTACTGATTTATCTCAACTGAGCTTTATTTAATTTATTAATTATACTGTACAACATATTTCTTATTTAATTTGGGGGGAGGGGGTTTTATTAGCGTCTCAAATTGATTGTTTAAAATGTCCGAATCCATTTTGGCGCGCAGTCACATCTGAGAAAATTTGATTTTCATATATAAGATGTCATCTAACTCGAGCATCTGAAATATCTTGCTTTTTATGATAGAAAAAAATATTTCAATGAAAGTAAAATGGTTTTAAAGAGGACATATTTTAGTCATGTTGTCTCACAATTTTTTTCCATATTTAAATGTTACTTTTAAATATTGCACTACAAGTTAACAGATACTTTTTATTTATTACATTTTTTTATTTTTGATCGTTCGATTTTTAATCGTTTGTTCCTGTATTTAATTTTTTACCGTTTGTTCCTGTATTTAATTTTTAATCTTTTTATAAACTTTTTATCTCAAGACATCTTTTATATATAGTTTTAATTTTATTCATATATTTTTACCGTTGTATCATTAGACATACAAATTTTCTATTTTATTTATACTAACCGTATCATCATAATTGTGAAATTTTGTATATGAGTTGAGAAATTTTTGCGACTTATATTTATTTTTGTAAATTATTATTTATACAATCTTTTGCAAATTATATTTTTAAACAATATTCAGAGTTTGTTCATTTGTTAGTGCGAAAGTGCAATTCTGAATCTTTGCAATTACGTTATTAAGATCACTTTATAAAATAACCGTTTGATGATCACCATGTGCTGTAAAGTATCTGTATGTTTACGTTTTTATCTGAATATTTCATTATCTAATTTTCATGTTTATATGTTAAATAATGCTCACAACCATCCAGCGAAATTGTACACACACTATGATGAATTTATATATTATCATAATTACTGTCTAAATTTTATCATGTGTTTTGTCAAGTTACTGTTTTCCAAATAAATCGTTGATTTCAAATTGTATCAATTTCAACATTAAAAATGACCCAATTAGAATCGAAATGTTTGTGATAAACTTTTGTTTTATAATAATAAGATCTAGTTTGGCTCGTATCTCTATATTTATTATTAATTTTATAAATTATTTGAACCGTTTTTCTTATTATTATTTCTTCTTATTATTAATTTGTTTACAATTGTATCTTAATACTTTCATGAACAGAACAATAAGATAAATCAATTGGTACAAAGAAAACACATAATTGCTCTAAAAAAATATATGAGCAAAATGAATAATTTTTTAAGTAAGCAACTATATGTTTTCTTTCCACCAATTGATTCATCTCATTATTCTGTTCAAAGTATTAAGGTATGATTATAAAAAAATTAATAGTTTACGAGTTATTTAACATTTTATGTCAATATATTAGGTGTAGTAAAAAGAAATCCATTATTTTTGCATGAAATTGATGGAAAAATAATGGATTTCTTTTTACTATACCTAATATGTCAGAATAAAGCATAAAATATTTCGTGAACTATTGATTTTTTGATATCTGATTGATATTTGATATCTTAATACTTTTATATTTAGAATTGAAGGAACCATTTTGTAAAAAAAAATCATACAATTCCATTTAAAAAAATGGAGGTGACCTTCATATCTTTTTGTCACCCCCAGAAGAAAGACAACATAATCAAAATACGTTCCCCTTGAAACTATTTCACTTTCATCTGAAACATTTTATAAAAACCAAACGAGATATTTCAGATGTTTATTTCGAGTTTAGGTGAGACTTTCTGTATATGCGAATGATCGAACGTTTCAGCTCGCAATTATGTCTTATAAATTAAGAATTGTATTATTCGAAACATCTAACTTTGACCGATCATTGGTACTCTCTACCGTATATTTATTTATTATATTCTTATTATTATATATATATACTAGATATATACTATCTATCTATGTACCACTTATCGTTGTACATCACAATTTATTGACATATATATTTCAGAATATCTGAATTTTTATTTAAAAAAATGTCATAAATAGAATTACAAAAATAATCACTGCAATTTTGCTTTCAATATTTTATCTTATAAAAAAAATTTGAATGTAAATTAATTCCCCATTAATTACGCTTTTAAACATATGTATATGATTTCGCAATTGATAATTTTTGCCAATACATTTCCACTTTTATTATCTTTCGCAATAATTTACAAGTAAATCAAATAAATATATTGTTTGATAATAACAAAAAATATCTTCAAATTGAAAATAAACACAAAAGTAACTATTTCATTGCAAATAAATTTAGAGCACATATATATCAATATAAATTACATACTCGATCAATTTATATAAATTAAAATTATGTGGAAAGATTTTAAACTTATAAGTAAACTTACTTCGTACTTATAAAAATTAGAAAATAATTAAAAAATATCATGATTTACTGAATCGTCATTCTTAAAGAAGATATGTGATATCACCGCTGCAACGTTCGCAACGCTCTTATTTGAGCAAATCTAAATTAACTGCGCGTCAATTGTCACAACACAGTTGCAATTGGACACAATCAATTCGTTCGTGTTGAAGAGTGATGACAAATTCGCATTTAGTTCGATATTTGATGAAACACGCCAGCGTGTCGTAATCACATGTATGTCATCACACGCGAACATATCGCCCCGAAGAAAATACGATCGCACGATGCACAAACATTATTTCTAATCGGGATTCCGCGTGGCTGCGAACGACGCCGAGTTCCTCGCGAATCTCACGCATGCATGAACTTCTCTGCGCAACGTCACGCAGGAATTGCGCAGAAAATACATAACAAGACACCTCGTTCTGCAGTTTTCGCTATGATCTATGTATCTAACAAACACGACAGTATATACATAGGTATATAAAACCTACTATTCGTTCCATTCTTCAAACTTAGTGAAACGAACATCATTCTCTTTTTTTCTTTTTGAGAAAATCGAATATATTCGTTGTATTCTCTAAGTTCTATGTAAGATAGGTAGTTCTTGCTTGAAATAAGAAATGGGCGAGAATCGAGATTCAAATCAGCTAGCTAGAGTGTCAGATGGATAGGATATAGACAGACAGACAGATCGACATACAGACAGACAGACAGACAGACAAACAGACAGACAAATAGATAGACAAACAGAGACACTGAAACAGAAACACTGAAAGATCGCATACGTTAGACAGAGACAGTAATGAAACTAAAGGTCGTTATTATGCTACTACGCATTCTTGAATTGGTAATGTAACATTCATGTACAGTGTTCTGTCGTAAAGGTAAATATAATATGTCGTCGTGTAATAATGTAACTTTAAACTAAAATAGCATGATCTTTTAGATTTACCTTTATCTCTGGTTTGTTTTCGAGCAACGTTTTCAATATTTGTAAGATAATAAAATTCATCATGCGTAAATATTTTCTTTTATTGTGTGTTCTCGATTACCCAATAATAAATATAAATATGAACTAATAATCCTCAGCAAGATCTGTCTCAGCAAAATCAAGATATCCGACGAACATTTAAAGTCGATTGTTTTCTTCGGAAACAAAGACTCAAATAAAAAATTTTAATTCATTTTTTACCTACTCTTTCTTGGTATCACAATTTCAGGATACTTTTGTGTGTGTGTGTGTGTGTGTGTGTGTTAGCGTGCTTATGTGCGGATGACAGTGCCAGAGGTTACCGTCCATATCAATTAATAGCGGGAGTACCTCTTGATTTTGCGTAGAGAGGAATATAACGTCATGACCGCGCGTACGTTACTCCATTTTTGTGAGCCCCTCGTGTTACGAGGTCTGTTGGCTGCTGCGGGTATCTCTGTATCGATAGCGTTGCTCTCCAGTGATTCTGAAGTGATTGAGGTGCCGGCGACGCCAACACCGGCCGATCTCCTCGCTTGTCGATGGCTCGAGATTGCGCGTCGATGACAGCAGATCTCCGATGACCTGTGAAGAAGACAAAACCCACACGGGTTGCCTCTTCCTCCCGCACATCCTTCTTTCACACTGTCTCTATTCCTCGCACATGCATACACATATTTGAAACCTTGTCCGTGCCTCTCTATGCAGCTCCTTTTGCATTTTCTTTGAGAGACATTCGTCTTGAAATGCGTTATATATAAGTGAATGATACGATTTTTGCTCTGGGCGAGATAGCTTCCTTTAACGTCGACATGATTTTTTCACGTGAATTTGTACTGTAAGACGCGCGTCTCTCTGTTAGTTTTTTCCTGAGATTTCCAAAGGAAATGTTTTGCTAGTACATATGAACGTGTTATAAATAAATATTAATTCTAAAAATATTAAATATTAATAAATATGTCAACTTACAATTACTGTTCTTAGCACAAAGGAAAAAAAGAAAAAACAGAAAGAAAAGAAGATTAAGCTTCGAAAACAAATTTTTTTAAAGTTTATTTAACATTAAAACAGAGAGGCGTTTTCGATAAAATCAACATTCTACAAACTTCCTTTTCATTCAAATAAAAAATGGACTTTTAATGCTTCACATTTAAACTACGAATCGTACATGTCGTGAACGTATTTCTCTTAACAATGATTAATTCCCGGTGCAACGTGACTTGTAAGTCTCACGCTGCACTTAATCTCGAATCGTGATTTATAACACGTTCAGAATGCCTACCGTTAACAGCGGTCTCGCAAAAAAAGCTTTGTTCATCACGGAGAACGATCTCGCACGAAAGCTATGTAATGCACTTATGATCTGTAACGTATACCATTGAGTACGTGAACAGGTTTCATCACTCATACCCTCCCCTCCCACCCTCTCTCTCTTTCTCCCCCCTCCCCCCCAAGTTAATCTCATGTTTTCCTCACACAAGTGCATACAATCACAGGCAATCTTTCATCCTTTCCTTCCTGCATCCGTCTGTCCATCTCCATATCACATCATGAAAAACGAGCTATTCGCTGAAAATTCACCGGCGCAATGTGACGTTAAATTCATTTATAATTCTCTCCCTCATAAAAAAAAAAGAATTTTACCGTTTTCAACGACAGAGATTCGATGCCATGGCATATCCCGGGATTAATTGCTGTAACGTGTAAATTCGACAACAAGGTAAATTTTATCTTTAAAAAAAAAAGATAAAAAAAGCCGCCAGGTGTGTGCGCTTCTCTCAGAAAAAACCGTTACGTAGGAAACGTTACGTAGGAAATTATTTATCTTTAATATTAAAGATACAATTTTTTAATGAAGCGTATACGCTATATTATCGCTATATCATCCCGTAAAATGTATGTTAATAACAAAAAGATAAGTAATAATTCCTACAGACCGAGAGGTATTGTTGGCGTACATTTTATCTCTCGATTGTCTGTAAGAAGCTACTTATCTTTGACATTAAAAAAATTATATATATATTATATATATTATGTATATATCCCTAATATTTATGTATGTGTTTTGGAAAAACAGATAGTGCTATATATGATTTACAACCGATCTAAAATTCATTCAAGATGATTTCACAATGCAATAAATATTTATATGTTTTACTTTTTACGATTTATATCATCCGTAAAATGTCCCTTTGAATGAATTTTAAAATGAATTTCATTTTAGAATGAAAAATTAGTTCTTGTCAAAATTGATTCCTGAAAGAAACTATTTCTATAATATGTGAATCAAATCTGCTTTCTGCCAGATATTAGAAAAAGTTATTGCGTCTATAACAAAAATTTATAAGATGTTCACAATACAATAAATATTTATATTTTTCTTGTTTTTATGATTTATATACCAT